TCGATTCCATATTTCGTCTATAGAAATGGCGGGAAATTCAAGGTAGGCCAGAGGGCGCGGGAATTTTAAATGGCGTCGATCTCCACCATCTTGGTTAATCAGATTTTTTACAAGGGGATGATTAGCTCCTGAATTACATGGTTGAACTAATTTTCACACCTCAATTTGTCTCTCGATGTCAAATTGACATAATAGCAAAACATTACTGTAATACCGAGATAAATATTTAAATTTTGCAAATTTACGTAGACTTGACAGAATAACATAATTTCTTAGGAGAAAAAAATGTGTCAAATTGACAGATGGGATAGATGGGAGGGTTAAAGGTGGGGGAGAGTAAACTGGGTTAGGCGAACTATTAAAAGACGCCCGACATTTGTACCCGTTTTAATATTTTTATTCCATCCAGCGTACGCCCGATAATCTCCGCCTGCGGGTCGAGCAATTTCGCCGTTGCTGACCGTTTCATGAAAAATCCTCTTTAAATGGGAAAGGTCAAAAGAATAAAAATCTACGGTGAATGATTTTAACGAATGAACCTCCTGTTTCGTTTTTATGCATTATTAAATTGAGATTAAGGGATTGATGGATGTCGATTCCAATTCTGGTTTCAGGAATGGGCAAATTCATTCTGCAGATAAAGAGTTTGGAACAATAAATAAAACATTGAAAAAGTACATCATTTTTAATTGATCGAATGTGAAAATTACAATTTTTATAACAAAATAGTAATTTCTTCTTGAATGAATGGATACTTGACAAACAATTGTTTAATCTCATTTAGGTACTACTTATTATTCGAAGAATAATTTTGCCCAACTTTGTCTGGTTTACTGGAAAAGTCAGTTACATTGTAGTCTTTTACTATTTTCCCTTTAAACATATAGACGAACATGGAGACTCGAGAGATCGACAAGGAAGTTCAAATGTTTAAAATATTGAAATATCGTTTAAAATTGTTTAATTGTTATTGTAAAAATATTGTGTAATTTTACGTTTGAACATAACGTTTTAGACATTTCAACTTTTTTGTCGATCCTTTGTTTCTTCATATTCTACTAAATAATGGTCTTTTAGCATTTTATGAAAATATTCTAATCGTTCTAACTCTTTTATAAACCATTCTACGTTCTAATATTCCATTAATTGTGTTAAAAATTTAATATGAATTTTCACGCTTGACAGATTCCACGGCCTCCCTCCCTCAATGGTGGGGATAACGCCTGGACAATAATCGTGTAGGACAAGCCTGACAATAATTGAAACGAGTCATATTTACGATTTCCAGAATGAAGTCTGTCATATTGTATTCCTTCTTACATCATTGAACAATTTCTCCAATCCTAGATTTTCTGAATTTAGGTAGAATAAATATTTAAAAGTCTGACAAATTTTGTTCAGTTCTATTTTCCATTTTACCAGAAAGGTTAGAAATTCTTCGTTTACCTATACCTCCAAGAAGTTGCTTTCTTTTTCGGTGCACGCCGTCAATCATATCTCGGTTTCCCTCGGTGCATTCTCCGCCTCCACTCGAGCATCAAAGAACAGATAAACGTCGTGTCTGAAGGGGCCTAATAGATATCGACACACACGACAAAATCCTTTTTCCATTCGCGGATCGCGATTCCTCACCGACGTGTCGGCCTGTCTTTTCTCGTTTTCTGGCAGCGGGAACCCAGACGCTCCCCTTAAAAGTAATCTAAAACGACTCCATTTTCCTTTTAGGTCAAACCACGATCCCACGGAGACCTAGATTCGAATGGAAAACTTCATTCGAGGACGACACTACCGCAATTTGTTTCTTTATTTCGTGTATGTTGCTTTCCAACTTTCGATCGTGTTTATTTTCGTTCCATTCTGTCAATTTTTTAGGTTATGTTGGAAAATAAACGACAGCTTGAACGTGATAAAGTTTCTACCGCAATTGCAAAACATGCTGAAATTCGTGAATAATTTGTATAGTGCGATAAAGGTCAAAATCGTAGAATTGGATTAGTTTAGCATAGTGCATGGAATTCTGGAGTCAATAATATTTGTTTCATTCGTATATGACCATTAGTTTATGAAATAATTCATGTTCAGTGCCGAGAAGCCTTCGAACACTCATCGAGCATTTACTGTATCATCAAAGACATGAAACGTAATTTTCTACGTAGACTTTGATCTTCAAAATGATTCGATGAATTATATTTCAAGAGCCCTACAAAGATTAGAGATAGCAACAAAAAGCGGAGATATCCATCGAGGATCGATTTTAATATTAAAATTATCACCTCAGCATCGACCCCAAGAGATAAAAATAAGAAATTCATCGAATTCCATGGATCTCTCGCGTTTCCACGGTACACTCCACACACGAGGTCACTGATTTATAAAAGACGCGTGAGACACAGGTACGGGGATCGTTTCAACTTAATTATTTCGTTCCGAATCCCCTCGTATGGACCCGTAAAATCCCATTTCCCCGAGGCGATTTCAATTGGCGCGGGAAACCAGCCGGAAGGGTGGAGGGAAACGTTACGATGGAGAGCGAAACCTAGGAGGCCGTGTTCGAAAAGATGGGGAGAGAAAAGAAGAAAGAAAAATAAAGAATAAAAGAAGAGAAGAAAATGGAATGAACTGACGAGACAGGTCGAGGGCTGAGAAGCAAATCCATGGAAAACGGTTGGAAATCAGACCGTGTGAAAAATTTAAGAGGCCTCCAGAAGAAAATAAACGCTTGATGGAGGGGTGGGGGGTGAAAGATAGGGGTGGGAAATCGCATTTTTCAGGTGGTTGCAAGAAGAAATTGAGACGAGGAAGGGAATGGGAGAAGAGGCAAATAGACAGGGACAAATCCAGTAAAACGGAAGCCATGTTCGCGGCGACGTTACTATAGAGTTTGTAGAATAATAATATTTATTTAAGAGATTTTACTTACAATTTGTAGGTTGGAGTTAAACGGTGGATTTTATGCTCTTATGAAGACTGTCATTTTCTGAAATTCGGTGTAGTAAACGAATAAGGTATAATGACGTACACTACCGTTCATAAATATTCGAGCAGTTATCGTGTAGTACGCAGTAAATTGGGACAGTTATCGAGTACTGTGCAATAAGGGCAGTACGAAATGGCTGGAAGCCTGAAATAAATATTGTTCAAGGGATATTGAAGCTAACTAAATTGTTGAAAATTTGAGTTTATAGTACACGACGGTCACCGGTGACCGACGCGACATAAATTTTATCGTTAATTTGTTTATATTGTTAAATAAATAAACAAATGAGACGAAATAGGGGTACATAAGGTGACGAGAAAATTCTAAAGGCAAAAGGTACAAGGTTTGATCCAGTTTTTTTCCCTAAAGGTAGGGGGGTGGGAGGTGAGACGTGGAAAAGCGAAAAGGGCGACGAATGGAGGGTTGCTGGTCGTCAGGGTTGTACGAGTAGGTTCACCAAAACCGCACGGGGGCCACTCGTTCCGCGGGGTCGAGTACGGTCGAGTCGACCGGGTCGACGGGAAAGTGTATCGCGACGTAGTCGCTTTTCACTCGTCGACGGAACACGGTAGGCGACCCCCGGCGTCAACCCCGTTTCCATCGCGGTGAAGAGTCGACCGCCCCCACTCCCTTGTCGCTTTTGTTCGCTCGACGTTGCTTGAAATATATCCTATTCTTTGAACGTCGGAATTCATTAATATTCGCCTGTTATACAGGGTTGGTTGAAGGTATGGGTACACTTCGATCTGTTTTGGGGGGGATGGGGGCATTGGGGGTTGAGAACGCTTAAACGGTTTTTCTACCCCTTACCCTCTTTATTCGTGAAAAACGCGGCGTTTCAGAAAGTTTTTCGTTTTTAGGGAAATATTGGCGATGGAGGTCCCTCTTCCTTTGTGAAAAGTAGGTCATCTTTATGAATTTATGTACCTTTTTTAAGGTTAGGATTAGAAACCACCTGCCTTGATGAAAAACCAGGCATTTGTATGAATGATTTTTTGGGGAAGTGTTGACATTGGGAATCCCCTTCCTTCAGGAAAACTTGGACATTTCTATAAGTTTTTCTGGTTGCAAAGGAAAGTATTGGTATTAAGAAATCTTCGTTTGCAATGAATAATTGAATTATATTTTAGTCGGAACAATTTCATTTTTGTTCCCCACTTCGATATTTAAATTTAAATCATTCAAAAGTCAAAGTAACTAACCTCACTTTTTGAATTTTTTCACATTTTTGTGCCAAAGCACGTCATCGGTTTTTAACATTTTATATGTTCATAATTTTCCGGAGTGGATCACTTTGGCAAATGAACGACTTGTAGTTGTCTACAGTTACTTATACATATAACTATGGCTACAGTATATCCTTTTTAACTATATTCAACAACACTAGAACTACCAACGATAAACGCATACTTTTTCAGTCGATCGATAAATATGGCAAACTTTTGAAAATTTACAAATTTACAAATTAACTAATTTCTTTAATGTCGTATCGTAATAAAAGTTACAAATGAAAATGGATTATTATAACATTTTAATCATCGTTGTAAGAATGTATTGGCAAGTCAGTTTGACTTGCGTGGTAGTTCTAGTGATAATAATGACAGTAAAACTGGTAACATCGATAATGACAAATCGATTTCCGGTGCGAGACAGACGAGTCCTACACGTTCGCGGAAGCGTCTGCCACCTCCCCCCCCCCGCCCTCCGTAACTTCTCCTTCCTCGTCCACGTTTCCCGAGTCCCCTCTCCCCCACCACCGCCAAGTTTCCGCGAAAGTAACGCGTGCCGACGACACACGGAGCGCAGTCAGTGGTGCGCGGACCGCCGTGGCGCGTGGACGTGTATGTTGCTTTGTTCTCATTTCTTCAGGACGGGGCGCGTGTTTCAACGAGCGTGTGTGTACCGCGGGGGGAGGGGGCCAGAACTTCTCTCTTCGGTGTTCACACGATTTCATTAACCCCGTACTGTACATCGCAAAACGTGCTTCGAAGCGGTTGTTCTTGTTTTTTTTTTCCGAGCGAGAGTGTATAGGAAGATCCTAATTGATCGATTTTCGGCGATCGTGCGGGGGTGAGTACACTATTTCGATATTTTTCAGTTGTATATTTAGAAAGAAAATTCCTACTTTTTTAAAATTGTTTTTTGACAATAATAAAATAGTGATAATAATGACATTTACGATGGTTATGTGAGGGGTGAGTACCCTATTTCGATATTTGTCAGTCCTTTGTGTAGAAGGATAGCTCCTTGTTTTAATATTAGTATCGTATTTTTTATTGCTTTTAAGAGTAATCAAAAAGTAGTACTAAGTCGTTTTCAATAATAATGACGTTTCCAACGGTTCCGTGGAGGGTGAGTTTTCTATTTCACTATTGTAAACATTGTAAGTGCTTTTTTGTAATTATTTATAATAATGATAATGACGAGGAATCGATCTCCAATGAAGGTGAAGTAAGATAGTTCCTTGTTTCGATATTCCTACCTGTTTTATAATATTTGAATAATAATGGTCATAATAGTAAATGCACTGATCATCTCTTTGTGATCTCATTCTACTTACATTTGTTTGTTCTTACAGTGGCATTATTATTGCATGAATAAAACAGTATGGAAAGGTTCCATCAAATGTCAATTATCAATAATATTTAGATTATACTAAATTAAGTAACAGTTAATAATAATTTAAATGATAAATTAATTAATTGTTGCTAAATAATTAGATACCAATAACATTAGTGTAAGATGGGCGGTAATAAAGGAAACGGTATATTATAAGTAGTGTTCATGCGATCTCAGCATGGAAATGGGCAGCGAACGACGAACGATTAGGATCCGAAGCCGAACGCGACGCGTCGTGACGGTTGGAAACGCGCTTCTTTTGTTTCCGATGCCAACGGAATCGTCTCGCCACATTCTCGATTCGCCGTATATCATGCGTCGCGTCACCTCGATACTAATAGTAATATTTGTATACCAACAAATACAAAAAACAAAAAACAATTTTCAACAGTAATTGATCATTATCGAATTAACAGAATAAAACTACGGCCGTATTATTTAAGCCTTCCACATTGTTCCATAAACAGCATTATGTTACATTATCGTTTCCTAAAGTAAATTGTGTACCGGTTAAAATCTTAATGAAATTATATCAATTTCTACAGCATTGAAATATAATTGAAAGTCGAACTTCAGCTTTGGATCGGATCTACTCGAAATGGAAACGAAACGGTTAAAAACGATTACAATAATAAATTTTTGCCAGATAATTGAGAATAATAATACGAGAGTAGAGTTAATGGTCAACGAAAAGATCGGTTCTCGTTGTAAACCAATTATCGTTACATGTTGATCGTAACGTAGAAGGTTTCAATCCATTTACCTGATCGAATCTGCACATTACTGCCCGCCGAAGAAGCCACTCGAATGACGCGTGAAAATTTTAGACATTTCCGTCGCCTGAGGCTTATGTGAGGAAAAATCAAGTGGTTGAAAAATTCAGACATATTTCATTCGAATTTACTTTTTATTATTATTCGTTATTATTATACTATTATTATTGCTCCTTAGAATTCTACTACTACTACTATTATTATTAGTTGCTCTGACTATTATTTAACATTTATTCGAAATTTATACCCAATTTGTCAGAATTGCTTTCTCTCAAAATTCTAGTAAAATTTAAAAAAAAAAAAGGAAATCTAACAAACCTCTCCGAATGGAAAAACTGTGCGGTGAAGTGGTTGTAAACGACCGGATTCCAGTAGAAATTATATACCTGCGATTGTGACTGAAATCGAAAATCGTTGATTTCAGTGAAAAATTTTTATACCTTTGAAAACAGAAGTTTCAGTTTTAATATGAATTACCAATTAGTTGCTGTTTTGAGGGGTAGAAACATTTTTCCTTAGACAGAAAATTTACGTAAAAGTATGTAATATTAAGGAATATTCTACAAAGTACAATTCTTTATGCCCATTCTGTAAAATACGATTCTTTACGCTTATAAAATTTATTGGGATAATTCTGTTCAATATTAGAGTTACATTAGAGGCTCCATATCGGATTATACAGTCGACTCTCTATTACATCTAAGCTCTGATTATTCGAAATATCGATTATCATAACACAGAACAAGTCATTAATTAAAATCGTACATTCGTTTTCCTATTAGTTCCGATAATGGAGGTTGCATTGTAATTTTATCTTTCCTCGCGTTCAAACCTGAAAACAACACAAAACTAGTCACAAATCAAAATCGTCGTTCGTTTTCCTCTTAGTTCGGATAATGGAGGTTCCACTGTATTTTTATCGTTTCTCATCACCAAACCTGAAAACAACACCAAACTAGTTGCAAATCAAAATCGTCGTTCGTTTCCCTCTCAGTTCGGATAATGGAGGTTCCACTGTATTTTTATCTATTCTCGCCATCGAACCTAAAAACAACCTCTTTATCTCCTCGATATTTCTCACGAACATTGTATTCACCTTTACTTTCCATAAGAATCCCATATTTTGAAACTCAAAGCCTCCAAAAAAAATTTCACCTTTTATCCAACAGTTCCTTGGGTCTTTACCGTAGAGACTTTACGTCCGTTAAATATGAAGAGGAAAAAGTTTTTTCTCGACTTTCACCTTGTCTCTGACTGACAAACTCCTCCCTCCCCCCCCCCTCCCTTCTGCCCGAAGAAATAATTGATGGCCCGGCCAGGCGGACATTGGAAAACCTCCAAATCGTCTCATCCTATTTGTCACTGTCTCTACGCCGTGAGATTGTTGCGGGCGCAGATACCAAACCGTGGCAACAAAAAAATCGTAAACATCGCCGGGAATTTGACGGGAAAACGTGCGATGAACTGCGATACATATTCTCTAACATAACAGGGTCTTCCCCTTCCGCAACTGTGCGCTGTGGGGTTAAGAGCTGTTTACATCACAGCGGTAGCTGAGCCGCCCGAAAAATAACGTGGAAATGTGTACTTTGTTGGGACGAGTCCTGTGGCACAGTGAAAAATGTCCAAGTAATATTGGATGAGGCTGGAATTCTCTGAAAAATAAAGTAGGGTGGACGTGCCAATAAATGAACACGAACGGGTGAATGAACATTATGTGCAAAAACTAGTAAATTAACATATTAAAAAAGACTTAAATAAAAAATTTAAAAAAATACAAAGCATGCACTAAAAAATAAAAAATAATTTTGGTAGCAATGTTCTTGGTCATATGTGATACGATTTTATTTTTAGTCAGATATGACCAAGAATGTTGCCATAAAAATTATTTTTTATTTTAACAAGTAAAACAAAAAGGTTTTTAAAATAATTATTACGTTTGTTTAATTTTTATTTATATTTAATACAACTTCATTTAATCTCTCGTGAACGACAGCCGCCATATTGTCAGCGCCAGGTTTCTACTGGTATGATATGGAAAATGACTTTACGAAGCTATGTAATACACAAATAATTTTCAAGCAATCAGAATAATAATTTTATCCAATAGGAATTTTATTGAACTGACGTAAAATCTTTCCAAAATGAAGGACTTTTAATATTTCGAGTGAATCCGACTTTTCGCCTACAGAATTCTATTTTCATTGACTCGTAGGTATATATTCAAAACTACATAAATAAACAGAAGCACCATTTAATTGATCTTATTCCACTGTTCATGTTTTTAATCGTGAATTCGTGGAAGTTTCTTCAACCGAGACAATATTTCCAGAATGGTGGACTCATAGTGTCTCGAGTTAATCCGACTTTCCGCCTACAGAATTCTATTTCCATTGACTCGAGCATAGTTGCACAGTACCAAAAGGCGGCGACAAAGTAATTCCATTTTGTTTTCATCGTAACTATACCCTCCACCTCGGTTCCTCCACACTTTCCCGTATACGTTACACGAATTTCGCCTTACACTCGAGAGCCGCGGGCACTCTGGCCTCTACATCTTCCGCTAATAGACCCGGCCCTATTTATAGGGACACTTATTTAGGGGCTCACACTGAATATTTAGCGTTGCCAGTTACAGCTGTCCCGCGAACTTCGTAGCAACGTGCAAGAAACATGGATAGACTGGTAATGAATCGCTTTTATCACAACCAGAGGAAGAAATTTTCACTCGAACTGTAGTAAAAGTGCAAAACTTTACCATCAATTTCGAAATTTTAACGATGAAATGTGCGCCATTTTGTTTCTAACCTTGCTGTGGAACGGCGGGAAATTTAAAAATGCGAGAATACTGAATGAAATCTGAGAAATATTATTTATTGATATTGCAAACTAATATTGTGAATATAATTATTTACGTTTCGATTTTTATGTAGACACTCTCATTATTTTAATAATTGCTGTACTACTAAATTTAGAATATTTTAAATGTTAGAATTTAGAGATCTATTGTTACTTCGGGTACGTTAATCGATTTGCATACGTAAAAGTGTAGTTTTCTATGCCACATTAATTCAATTTGTAATACCTATTAGGAAAGAATTATAAGTACGATTTTCTTGCAATTGTTGGAAAGAATCCATTTTCTTTTGAAATTCAAACGGGGAGATCCTTTATCCCAGTTGCAGTCCTCGATGCACATAAAAGTAGAAGATTTCTTCGCATTCTCGTCTGCCATTTTAGTTCCCTTCCATTGAACCTGATGCCTCCAATTGTACCAAAATTCACTGAATTCGACGAATATTCTCACAATCGATCAAAAAGCTTCTTCTCTCGAGACTCAATCAAGAGATTGTCTACCCAATTGCAGCGGTCGATCTACAAAAAATCGTGATTTCACCGTCATTTTTCCGTGCCACGAATAACTGGACACCTCGTACATTTTCGAAAACAATCTATTTTTTCTCTAACCTCAAACAAGAGATTCTCTAACCCAATTGGGGTCCTCCGTCTATCTAAAAGTAGATCGCATTCTCGTCCGCCATTTTGGTTCCGTTCCATTAAACCCGATGGCGTCCAGTTGAATCAAAATTGGTTAGACACTCCGTATATTCAACGAATATTCTTACAATCGATCAGAAAGAATCTTCTCTTGAAATTCAGATTGTTAGATCATGCAAC